CCTGTCACGTGGGTACAGAATTTCTTCATGCAGAATCTGATAACTGAACCCAATCCTTTGTTGATCAGATATTTTCCAATACGGGAGAGTTTCAGAGCCGGTTCGGAGTGCGTGGCCGTTTACCGGGGCAGCTGCAGCGGCCCACTGGAGTAGCTGTGCATCCAAACGGGGACATCATCATTGCTGACTATGACAATAAGTGGGTTAGCATCTTCTCCAGTGAGGGCAAATACAAGGTCAGTTATATTTAGTTAGTACTCACAAGCAAATTTCAGAATTAGTGCGCAACTACCTCATTACGAATTCTCTCGGGAAATAAACTTTGGTTTTATTGACAACATTCTGATTTTTCCGAAGGCTAAGCTGGGCTCAGGAAGGCTGATGGGTCCAAAAGGTGTATCTGTGGATCAGAACGGCCATGTTATCGTTGTGGACAACAAGGCCTGTACAGTTTTCATCTTCCAGCCCAGCGGGAAACTCGTCACTAAGTTTGGCAGCAGAGGAAACGGTGACAGACAGTTTGCAGGTAGGTACAGGTCAATAGCATCTGATTAAGGGCTACAGACTGCATTGTAACGTACAGATGCCAATGATATAAAATATTTGAGTTGATACAATTACGTGATCTAATCATTCATTGGTTCTGTATGAATTTAACCTAGCCGTTCCTTTCCGTGTAGGCCCACACTTTGCAGCAGTCAACAACAACAATGAAATAATCATCACAGACTTTCATAACCACTCTGTTAAGGTAAGCTTAGGCATTACGTTTTCTAACAATGTCATCACAAATATTTCCATGGTGTTATATGAACAATAGAGTGTATTTTTTATCTTTTATTCCTAATGTATAATATTCTGTAATGTTTCTAATGTTCTTATCTATTATTACTCTAACCTCTCTAATAGGTATTTAATGCAGATGGAGAATTCTTGCTGAAATTTGGCTCAAATGGCGAAGGGAACGGGCAGTTCAATGCTCCCACAGGGGTTGCTGTGGATGTCAATGGGAACATTATTGTGGCAGACTGGGGAAACAGTCGGATACAGGTAACAAGTCCTTGTGAAGTCTGGTATTAACTTTGACAAACACAAAAGTTAGTCAATATAAACTGCCCCCTATCTAGACAGAAACATTTAGCTAGCATCTTAAAAAATAGCTTACCTTTGAGAACAGTACTTTCTGTCTGAAAGAATCTGAATAGTTGTCTTAAAAACCTTATTTTTATCCTAGCTTTTGAATTAACTCACAACATTAGTTGAGTCAGAAGTTGACAATATTTAGAAAACAACAGAGCCAGAGTTTTCTCTCTTCATTATGTCAACCTAAAGTTTTGGTTCTGAAAGATTTGTGAATGTTTTTGAAAAGAAAGCTTCCTATGCTCACCAAAGGCATTTATTTGAAAAATACAGTAAAAACAGTAATATTGTGAATATTATTACAATTTAAAATAACTCTTTTCTATTTTACTAGATTTTAAAACCATTTATTCCTGTGATGACAAAGCTGAATTTCATTTCTATCTATCTATCTATCTATCTACTTTCAGGATTCTTTGATGTATAGACATTTCAAAAGAACAGTGTTTTATTAGAACATTATGTCTTTACTGTCAATTTACTTTAATGAATCCTTGCTGAATAGAAGTATGAATATCTTTCAAAAAGAAAAATCTTACTGAGCCTAAACTTTTTGAACAGTAGTATATAATTGTCTCTACACATTATATATATATATATATATATGAATTAAATAAATGCAACCCAGAAAATTATCAAATGTAATAGAATCATTCTCATTCTCAGGTGTTTGATGGAAGTGGATCGTTCCTGTCCTACATCAATACGGCGGCAGACCCTCTCTACGGGCCGCAGGGTCTCGCTCTGACCTCAGATGGCCATGTTGTGGTGGCTGATTCTGGGAACCACTGCTTTAAAGTGTACCGCTACCTGCAATGATATCAGACAGGCTCTGATCTAAGACGGAAAGAGAATCAAAGTCATACTGTATGTGTCCAAATCTTGCACTTAATGTAATGTAATGGTATTCTTCCTCCTTGGTTTTCACATCTTTTTGTATTTGTTACTATTGTCGGATGACCTTCTAAGAAGACTACAGCTTATAAATACTGTTTATGGGATGCCTTGGAATGCCTTTGCCAAACCTCCACACTCTACACTGTGGAAATACTGAGACATCAGAATGCATTGGTGAGTGAACTACTACCTAAGCTGAAACTCTGCTCCTGAAATGTGCTGCATGTGTGGACCATGCATGCGCCGCCAACTTTTGGACACATCCGAGCCCCATCTGACTTCTAGGATGCTATTAGAACACTCTCTCAACACTTTTATGAACCTTTTGAAAGGGATATGTTATAGAGATGCAGCCAAGAAAGCAGACAGCGATATCTCATGTCTCCCAGCTTTAGCATTCCCTCCTCGACCTGTTCAAATCTTACAGTAGATTAATAAACTATTTGTCAAATGTTTGGAATAACTATGATTTCTTTAATGTAATAAAGTATTTTATGCCCATCAAGGCTGCATTTATTTAAACAAAAATACAGTGAAAACAGATTGTGAAATATTATTACAATCAATAACTGTTTTCTATTTAAATATATTTTAAAATGTAATTTATTCCTGTGATGGTTCAGCATCATTACTCCAGTCTTCAGTGTCACATGATCCTACAGAAATCATTCTGATTTGCTGCTCAAGAAACACAAGGTTGAACAATTGTGCTGCTTAATAATTTTGTGGAAACCAAGATACACTACTAATCAAAACTTTGAGATAAGGATGATTAAAAGAAAAGAAATTAATACTTTTATTCAGCAAGGGTGCATTCAGTTATTCAAAAGTGACAGTAAATACTTTTATAATATTACAAAAGATTCATATTTCAGTTAAATTCTATTAATCAAGGAATCCTGAAATAAGTGTATCAAAGTTTCCACAAACATACAATAATTCCACAACAGCAATAATTGTTTTCAACATTGATAATAATAAGAACCATTATTTATAATTGAGCACCAAATCAGCATATTAGAATGATTTCAGAAAGTGATTTCAATGTGATTTTCGTGAAAGAATGGTTTCTTGATGTGACACTGAAGACTGGAGTAATGGCTGCTGAAAATTCAGCTTTGCCATCACAAGAATAAATTACATTTTAAAATATATTCAAATGGAAAACAGTTATTTTAAATTGTAATAATATTTAACAGTATTACTATTTTTACTGTATTTTTTAAAATCAAATATATGCAACATTGGTGAGCATAAGAGACTTAACAACACTCAATAACATAAAAAAAAAAATCAAAATTATTCAAAATTTTTGACTGGTAGTGTTGGCCTGATTCTCTGATCATATTCCACTTGTGTCTGTTAAATTCATCGTTTTCAGTCCAATCAGTTCAACTGCAATAAGCAAAATTACAGTGTGGTATTGAAACATCACCAATAACATTTGAATTATTTGTCGTGTGTAATGACATACTGTGTGTACGTGTGTAAGAGACTAACAGTAGATTACACAACGCACTGTTGCCTTGCATACTTATAGAATAAAACTAGCAGCATAATTATGGCTCTTTATTTAGAAAATATTAGGACTCTCTATTTTCCTTACAAATACTATTAAAAACTGGAAATATCTCTATATTTGTGTATTTATCGTAAATAATGTTTCAAAGAAAAGATGTTTAGGTTTCAAATGCAGATGTAGTTAAAAGCCAAACATTTTCAAAGAATTGATTTTGATTTGTCGATCATTCTCTTGTGTATCCCAGGATTCTTAAAGGCCCGTTCACACCAAGGACGATAACTATAAAGATAACAATAAAGATATAGTTCTAAAAATCGTTCTCAATATTAAAGAATAGCAGAGTCCACACCACAACTATAACAATAAAGACAAAGAGAAACTATATTGTTGGAATCACTTTCAAAACGATTTTTCTCCAGCTGATGAACGATAAAAAAAAAAAAAAATGTTGACAGCCAATCAGAATCCATCCTGCTGTAACAAGCTCGAGAATTTAAAGCGGCAGACGTGCGTGCGCTTAGAATAAACAGACGATATCGTTCGCTGGTGTGGACGCTAATATCGTTATCTTTATAGTTATCGTTCTTGGTGTGAACGGGGCTTTAGAGGCATGATTCACATACTACAGATTTAATCATAACTGAATGGCAATAGTATTTCATCATCATTACAATGCAAAGGTCATTTTTTGTTCTTGCTTTTATATTTAAATTCCAGAATGTTTAATTTATTTTGGTACAGTTAGTCTGTACTGTAAATTGTTTGCATATGCATAATGTGCTGATTTCTGTATATAAGGATTGTATGTAAAGAATGTTTTGTATGTTCATCAGAAAAAAATTTTACTTGAATGTTATTGTTTTATGTCTGTGCAAAAAAGATCAGCCTTAACATTTACATCTTGCAACATTTATCATTGTTTTCACTTTATTGATGAAAATGGTTTCAGTGGAATATTTTATTTTAGTTTATCTAGTTGATGTGTGCCTGTTTACGACTTATGACAATAATCCTGCTTGGACTGTGTTGATTATTTATTAATATCGCTATCACGTCATATCATTATCATGCTAGCGTACAGCGCATTAAAAGCGGCTTTGGAAAAGCTTGTTGTCCTGTATTGTATTAATTAGTAAAAAAAAATGTATTTGCAACAATTTTATATTGTCACTTTAAAGCATCAATCAGTATTTAAATGAAAAACGGTCAATAACTGTTTTCTATTTTAATATATTTAAAATGTCATTTATTCCTGTGATGCAAAGCTGAATTTTCAGCATCATTACTCCAGTCTTCAGTGTCACATGATCCTTCAGAAATCATTCTAATATGCTGACTTGCTGTTGAGGAAACATTTCTTTTTTATCATCATAATAGAAAACAGTTGTGATGTTTAATATATTTGTAGAAACAGTGAGAAATTTCAGTTTGCTATCAAGTCAAATCTAAATTCAGCCTAAATTTTGAAAATAAACACACACCCAAAGTTCCTATTTTTTTCCCAATTCATTAGGCTACCTCTTCTAGACTCCAGTCACATCAGTAGCCACATAAAAATGGTTTTATTTTCCACAGAGCGGGTCACTTCCTGGGTTTTGACAATTTGGCCAGCTCAACATAAAACAAAACAAAAAAAATATTGATTTGGCAAACACTCCTCATCATTTTACCCTAATGAAAATATAACCACTCAATATCCACACTTACATCAAATACACCATAACAATGCTAAACTATTAAACAGACAGACAAAATGAGGCACCATTTTGATTAGGTGTGATGGACAGCAGCTTTAGAGGGGCTTCTGTATGTCTTTGATGTATCAGCATAGGTCACTTCTGAAAGAGTTGTGTCTGAATCAGTCTGTTTCTAAGTATCTAATAAATAAAAATGCAAAAGCGGCTGTTTGATTTATATTATAAAATGTACAATTTGTCAGATTTACAAATAAATATTCAAAAGGTCAACACATGCACAGTTTTAAACAGAGTCAAATACTGTAGGTGTTTATTCAAGTCCAAGTGAAAAATTTATTCCGTGCACGATTCCAATTATGATAGGTTGCCAGGCAACCAGGTACCTCAACCAATCCAGAAGTTGTCCATATAAAACATGTGTTCTCTCCCAGCTGATGTTCAGATTCAAGGCGTAAATATTACAAATGGCAATCTGAAAACATGATTTCAAAAACATTCTCAGTACATATCTATGTGTGTGTGTCCCCAGATAATATTTTCATTTTTTTTTCTTTAAAGTTTAGAAACAGGGTAACTTGCAAGACAATCATCATATTATGGGGTCCTTCACATTAAAATGTTTAAAACCCACGATATACATGGACGTGGACGAAGCAGAGTCCAGCCCGGGGTCGTCACATGTGGTTGCCGCAAGTCTGCTTTTGTCGAATCCGCCGGGTGACGCTCACTCAAGCTGCTGTGTGTTTCATTGTGAAAGCGAAACTACTTTGTTTGGCCTTCCAAAAGAGGACATAATGTTTCTATAAAGTGGGGCAGTTCCAACTTTGCAAGGACAGTCTGGCGCTTCTGACTCACAGCCTGTAAGTACGTTTTTTTATATTTAAAGAATTTGCCACTGATGATTCAAACGCGAGTTAGAGCAGTGTAGAGAAGAATGTACATTATGTGGAAAATAATGTGTTTTTTTAACCTTAAACCGCATAAACACATTTCATTACACCAAATACACAAAATAATGTTCTTTTCAGCAACATCATATGATCCCTTTAAGCAGAACAAGTGTTTTCAACATTACTGTAATAAATTAGATATTAAAATACAATACAATAGAAAACATTTATCTTAAATTGTAATAATATTTCATAATATTACTGTTTTTACTATATTTTTGACCAAATAAATGCAGCCTTGGTGAGCATAAAAAACATTTAAAAATCTTACCGACCCCAAATGTTTGGATGGCAGTGTAGGTGTTCTGGAAACCCAGTAATTAAATAACTGAATGTCTAGCATGTAAATTATGACCAATTTAACTCAATTCAAGGATACGGGTTATTCATCATCCTTTTGAGGTCCACCTTCTCATTGCAGTATGGACACGTCTGCTTTTTTCCCACGATGCACCAGCCACGAATACAGAATTCATGAAATCTGTTGATCATAGGTAGTTAAGGATAAACAGAATAATTTTACAAACTAACAATTGCTTCCAGAAATTTCTACTTGCTTCCTTGTACAATAAACAAAATTGAAACACGTCAATTTATTCAGCTAAGCATTTAAACATACACGTTTTTACATATAACAATAAACCTGGCTTCCTGTTAAGAAAAACATAACAGATGAGGTTTAGGGGAAATGAAGGATACATGTGGTTACAGGAGAGCTGGTAGGTGTCCTCAATGATGCCTTCCTCATCTACATCCACAAAAATCTTCTGACCACACACGGCACACACATCATTACTGAGGTTTCTGGACGGCATACCACCCATGTTATAATACTGAAGAAGGCAGAAAAGAAACAACGCATGACCAAAACATTTATCTTTTTGGAATCGGAATGGTTCACCCAAAAAGGCTGTCCTCTATAAGGCTATGTAGAATGTTTTTGTACATCAGAACAGATTTGGTGATATTTAGCAT